TTGCTTTCAGTTCTGATATCATATTAGCTGTGTTGCAAGCTTTGTCCATGAAAGCAGCAATGTCTCTGTACAAACCAATGGCTTTTGCGAGAGACACACCTGGAACACAGCTGAATCTTCCGTGGCTGTCGAGGAATGTTCAGCAACTTTATGAGTAGTACATTACGAATCGTGGTATGTGAAAAAATCATACGAACTGATGGCGGCCTGGTGCAGCACATTCTGCTGCTTGAAAACACCATAGAGCAGAGATTCACCTGGTTTCGATGTGAGTCTATCGCAAAATTTGTTTGCAAATTTCGCTAATTTCAGGCAATTTGGTTTCAAGCAGAACATAAGGTTGACGGAACTCGGTGACTGTGACCACATGATGAGCCTCAAGAAGGGCGAAACAGTTCGTGGGCTGTTGAACCGTTTTCAGCGACATTATAAGTAGTGTATTACGTCCAAACCAATTGCTGCTGTAGTAGATAAGAGAGGAAAATGATTCAATGGATAAAACCGTTACGGTAAATTCATCTGTAGACACTGTTCACACCGTTAGCACGCATTTCGCTTCTGTATTTGTTGATTGATGGACGTGAAGTGCGACCGATTTTTTCAAACCATGTTATTCTTCATGAAATTCATGACATTTTTCTAATTACTTACCTGCAAACAGAGGACGTGAATGAATCTGTAGTTGACCGCTGCACCTGTGAGTCATTTTTTCAAGCGTCGAGTTTTTTATTGTTGATCAAATTATCTGTTTCATTTATGCCTGATCTGTTGCTTTCTAGGGGATTTAGCAAGCGTCATCAGGGTTTACTTGAATGTATTCCCCCCCCCCCCACGGGTCCTCATCGCCATCATCGTTGACGACCCGTAATGCCTTCGGTGCTTAACTGCCATACAACCGCGACTGAAGAAATCATTAGCAGTGAGTGGAGGGAAAATGGAAGAGACTCTATGTCAAGAAGCCTTGTGTCCTTAAGTAAAACGGCCAGGAATCTCTTGCCTTTAAATTTGGATAACCATACCATGCCGAAGTAGGGCGCCATTAGCTGGATCGACCCAACATCTTTTGAGAGTGCTACCAGACGGTATCCCAAAAAATCGTTCAGCTGTGGCGCTTTCTTGGTGACGACAGGCCATGCAAGGGTTCATCACGAGGGCCGGGATACTGCCAGGTTACCCAAGCCTAGACAGGGAAAGTCGAAAGACAGGGGTCGGGTTCGAACCACAGACCTTCTGGTTAGTAAATTCGTGCTCTAACCACTAAGCCATCTCGACGGTATCCCAGCTCACATTGACAGGCAAAATATAACTAGACAGATCGACTAGGAAGTCATAGCATGTGCGCCAGTGGGTGCGACGCCTTGTAATGTTCACTTCCACGTATAAGCAGGATCACTTAGGCTCACAGACAGGAAGAAACGGAGGCCCGCAGTACTCGGCGTGACTGTAGCGGCTTTTGTTTTACGCTCCCATGACATGACCGCGAAGACTGGGCCAAAAATGGCTTGGATAGATGGTGCTGGGGCAGACGTAAAACACTCCAACCACCTTAACATTTGATAGTTTATTCTGTTGCTCTGACGATTCGGTTTTGTTGCTAACTAATAGATTTTATTAGGCAAACAGATCAATTCATTATCATAATTTGATTTATTTTGAATAAGGTCTGAAGGAAGTAGCCAATGTGCATCAATAACAATCTTTAATGCGGAGTAAAAGAAAGCAAGGAAAGTAAACTGTTTTCATAAAGGAAACTACTCACACGGCTGCTGAAAACTCTTCGACAGCCCACGACCGGTTTCGCCCTTCCACTTCGGGCTCATCGGGTAGGCGCAGTCCCCGAGTTTCCGTCAACCTTATGTTCTACTTGGCTGGTATTCTCTACTAGAGTGTTCTTCAATCGAACAAATGAATGTTTGGTGACAAAAACGCCTAATGAAACTCTGTTTAATTTCGACTCGTAAAATACCTGGAACAGCGGAAACTTACCTTGGGTCTACAAAATCAATATACCTTTTTCTATCCTACCTACATTCTGCTTTTTCAGCCTATCCTTGCGAAGGTCAGTTTTCAGAACACGATTCTTGTGGTTTATACTCTATCAAGCTCTATGAAGCCTTCGAACTACTCTCTTTTTCGGTCAACTTTTTGCAAACATTACTGTATGTTTTAAGCTGGACATTTTTTTACTCTTACTCGAAAGAAATTGTGTTTTTCTATTTCCTTGACAGGCCTGAGATTTCTGGTCACATGATTTTTATGAGTTTTACGAAATATGTCGAGGTGTGGAGAGTTGGATGAAGCGAAAAGTTTGGATGCAGTCGATACGAAATGGGTAGATGCAGGAGAGAAGTCTGCTTTCTGAAGGTCGCTCATCAGTGAAACATTGAGTGTCCAAGAGGTTCCTCCGAGGGATCCTATCAGGGGTCGTTGTGGAACCGCCGTATCCATGTTGATGCGCTTTGATTTGAGCAAACCGATTTAGATAGTGTATTCAGGGGCGAAACCAAGAATCATTTTGACTTAAGAGTACGGCACTGGCCTATTAAAACAGGCATTGTGCGAGTACTGTGTGTGGACTTTGGACTAATCTATTTCAAAAAGTTCCTCTATTCATCGGTTTCACTGTTTGCACCTTTGGAAAATAGCCCGGGTTAGTAACTAAATGGAAAACACTCAGAAATGTTAGTATAGTTGCTACCAATGATTACATGGAAAGATTAAAATGGGAAATTTGTTCTGGTCTCGTATCTGGGGTAAACGTGCTAATTAGTATTGGGGGACGTCTAATAAGCAGAGTTGGACGGTACGCCGTTGTGGATTTTCTTGGTTTGAGGCTAACTTAAATTGTTGGATATTCTGAAGCTTAAAAATGAATGAAATCTCGTTCATTTTTGCCAAAATGAAACGGATGACGTTCGAGACCCTACATAATTTGGTAGCTTCCAACAGAACTGCAAGATACTCTGAGCCTACGGTGCATGTTGATTACCAAACCACTGCCGAAACCTCTAACCCTGTTGGCACCTGATTCTGGAAACTTGATGGTGGTAGCTTGAATGCAAGCCAGGTTTACTTGGTAATCTGCGCAGCGTGCGCATTACAGTCGATCACGAGCTTCAGATCGCTGCCACAATACTGTGCTCTAATGTTAGGCGGGATTCCACACGGATTCCGCTTTACCGCTCGCAGTTAGGTGCTGCTACGGCCGAAAAGCCCATCCCACAGAAGATTGGCCAAAACTTCGGGACGCTTGCCGGTCCGGCATCAAGCCGAGATATGATTGGTCAAGCATCTGGACCCAACAGCCAATCGCGACCCAGTATTGGCCGAATACCGGTTGCCAATATTGCATCCAGAACTCGTCATAATTTCCAAAAAGTTATTGCCGCCTACGCTATATACATGAAGCGCTGTACAAGTGTTCCTGACTTCGTTTTGGGTGTTAATATACCTTGTGCACCTTTGGTGGTTGTTTTGACGTGAACGCTAGCTTGGGAGACTCAGACCGAGAACTAAGCTAGAAAAATTCCGTTAATGCATCCAGAAATATGCTCAGAAATATTCGGATTTGGGGGCCAAATTCGTCTCAAATGTTACTGGGTATCGCCTAACGTATGGAGAAAACGTTAAACGGAACGAACACAGACGAAATTCCGGTGGTCACCGTAGAAACACCCCATAGAAACGACATTTCAGACGCTATTCAAAAGATAATTTGAGATTGTGATATCAAAACGGTCTTGTAATTGACAACGGCACCTGGCAAGGATAGGGCCCTGTCGAAACGAAGCACCGCACAAATAGTGTCTACCAACTTTCTCGTGTGGTATATGGGACCGAATACATAGATCTGACAACCAGGTGACTCCATGTGCAAGTTACGTAGCACAAACCACATGCACACCCACCTTCCACGGAATCCAATCTAGTTAAATTTGAACGCGACCCAGCCATTGCACTCCATGTCGTTGAGTCAAGCCATCAAATCAACTCTGATGGTTCACGTATACTCCGGTCAGAATTCAATTGACACATGGAACGGGCGTGCCCTGAAGCACTGGAGATCAACACAAGCTCGAACTGAATTAACCGCTGTGATGGCGTCAGCATCTCAACTATCAGGCCTGAACTTCGGTATATATAGTAGCCACTCACATGACTCTCGTTTAAACAGTCGTCCCCCTGTCTTGGCGCAATCCTTCTGGTGATTCCACTCCACAGGGATGAAGTACTGGAATCAAGATGCCAAAGAGGGTCTCCACAACATCGCATTACAGCCAGTACAACAACAAACTGAGGCAAATCCTAGTCGAAGTACACACAACCAGACGCACACAGAGCTAACACATCCACACGCTGAAGACATCTGACTGTCAAGCGATCTGAGGAACACACCAATAAGAAGGCTTGAGCGTGGAGACTACGTTCCCGTCGCAAATAAGTGATTGTAGAAATCCTTAGGAAGGGTTGCCCATGGCAACCGACAGGGCGGATTATAGCGTCTTATTTCGCTACGCTATGTTTTGACTTAAAAATTTTCCACGTTTATAAAACTATCATTTGGATCCGCAACAATACGACATGTCGGAAAGCATACTGCGAACGCCTATGGGTAGTATGTTGATTCAGCAGAAATTGGCATTGTACACAGAAATGGGTTTTTGGCTTATTTTATCCACTGACTTCCACACGCTGAATTCTTAGAAGATCCGATACGGTTGTTAAAATACGTGCGTTTTAGCGCCACCTATAGCCAGTTTTCGAGCTGTTGTGTCTTAATTAAAGTGTGTCGGTCCTTGGTTTCCTGCTCCACCCACTATGGTAAATAAAAAAACACAGTAGATTTAGACCACCCTTTATGGAGGCAAAGGAAGGTTATTACGGATGAATTCATAGGGTAATCACAGAATATACCACAAGATCGTGCCAGAATCTCCGTTAGGGGGCGAGAAGCGTCGAGCTAAAGATGCTCTATCCAGATTGGCTGGCATTCTGACCAATCAGAGCATGTCTTTGATCTGTATCCTGCACATGACACATCCACCCAAATAATGTGATGTTCGAGTATTAGGGACGGCTGGCCTCCGGACATGAGCATAGTGTAAACTTGATGTGACCAGATTTTTAAACAACGACTTCTGATTTGTCTAATTAGCCAGCTGGAATGGCCGTTTATCCTTTTCGGATATCTTCTAACCACGAACACGTGGGCAAATATTGTCCTTGATATAAACTGAGAAGCTGTAGTTGCGTTTCCCGGAAGTTGCCATACTTCAAATTTGTAATCGATGATCTAATAGGCATTAGGTTCTTTTTAATTTCAAGTGAGTAAGTAGATAAAATGTTCTGGCTACTCACCAGAAGCCAGTCAGCTGACAATCTGTGAACCACACCTACTCAAGTCGCTTACTCCACGGCTTTAACATTTCTGCAGTTCGGAATCGGATTATCCACTCTCATTGCAAATCTGTTTCTTGTTCAAATTTCAGTTTGGGTTAAACGCACGCGTGAGTGAAACTTTTGCTGGTCGATTATATAAACCAAAACAATTTGAACCGACCATACTCTCAAGTGCGTACGTTTTATTGAACCCACAAATGCAAATCTGGAAGATGCGTGGGCAAGCACAACCGATTTTCCGGTGTAACGATTGTTTCGTTTGTGAGTTAAGGTGAGGCTGTTGCTCAAATTTCCGGGGTGGCGTTTAGCTGATCTCCGCAAAAGAGCCCTATGGTCCTCTGTATTTTAGGCAAAACGTATTGGACGCTGCAACGCAGATGAATTCATTGTTGCTGGAAATATTAGAAAGTGGCACTGGGGACCTGATTAGTAGTTCTGTCACCTTACTCCCACACGGGATATCGTACTAAATAAGCTTGTATTACGTGGCGCACTAGATGTGTTCAGGAGTTGGCTTGTACGATGTGATTTCACCTCGGGGTGCACTACTCATAAATTACGAGTAGAGTAGGTAAGATGACGTTGTTCCTTTGCAACAGACCGGGGCACTGTTCATTGGTCCTATCCGTCTTAGGAACTAGTAGAATAACTTCTATCAGCAATGCTGATAAGGAAGGTGGTTATAATAGAAGCAAATCACTTTTTTGATGGTTGGCTGGCCATGAGACATTTGATGAGCTGACAGACCATGAGTGGTGGACTATAAGCGTGTATCTTGTGCCCATTAAGCCCTTAAGTGGTGAACCCCACTGGAGTTGAATCGTTTGTGCTAGATAACTATGTTTTGCGACCTGAATTAACGAAGCGAGATCTGACGGCTTTCACACAATTATCGACGTTAAGTTGTGCGGTCCAAGCAGTGGAAGACCGTCGGACATATACTTCCAAGTCATTCATAGATTTCAGTTCCACGGGCGCGCGGAAGAAAGAATCCTTCCACTCTAGAGTGATCTTTGTCGTTTTTAGACCTGATGATAAACGTGTACAGTAGAGAATAATTCATCAAATTACTTGAAAAACTATTGATCAATTACAACAGGAAGCAATGAAAATCAGAAGAATCACAGTAACGGCGGGCGCTTTTTGGAGCTTTTTGGGTCCTCTCAGTTGGCTGTTGAGTTAGTGGTTGATGTCAGAACCACGTGCCCACAAAGCAATTTTATAGAGCTGGGTCTTCTAGTGAAAAAAAGATAGCGCAGTTCTTTAAGGTTCACACTACAGGCCAGGTGAACTTAACAAGTTGTGAGGACACAGTAGAGTGAGTCTCCATACGATAAACTGTGTCGCGCGTCTCAGATCTCAAAGCTTCCCTTTCGAATTAGATTGTGATAAACGCAGACCAACCAATCTTTGAACAATTAGGGTGAATTCTTAGCACGACAACGTTTGCGTTAAATGAACGGAGTGGGATGTTGTTCCATTCCACATTCCCATTCAGTCAGCTACAAAACCCTCTCGGTGCCTAGCTGCCATGCCTGCCGAAGGAAGCGCGAGGCCTGGGATACTGCCAGGCTGCCCAAGCCTAGACAGGTGAAGTCGAGAGGCAGAGGTCGGGTTTGAACCACGGACATTCTGGTCAGTAAATTTGCGCTCCAACCACTTGAGCCATCTTACCCCCTAGTAGGATGTTGCTACCACAAGCGATTATTTTGCGCACACCTTAGTTTTTCTTCTCACTAAATCAGGTGCAAAAGGAAAAGCCTGTAAGTTTTAGTTTGTTAATTCACAATTAAATTATGCGTGAATTCGTGCCGGTTAACTTGTGATTGTCGAGACCAGGGGCTAAAGACCATGAAACAGCATGCCTCTGGAAGAGTGAATTGGACGGACCGAGAATTGGTACACGAAAAATCACATTTACCTGTCACTGCGGTTCCATGTGGAGTCTAAGATGAGCTTAAAGCTGATCCGAGTTTGCTTGACAGATGCCGGAGACTCTGCAGAATCTCATCGGTTTCACCAACGCTTACCAGCAGAAGAAAAAGGAGTTAGCCAGGAAGCCAGTACAATTCTACTAAAAAGGCCGCGATGACGTCGCATACCTCATGTAAAGTGTGCATACAATATTCTTGGTAGTTTATGGAATGATTCTAACAACTCCGTGAGAATCGCATCTAGCACAATTTTTGGCCACAAGCGCTGTATGAACATAAGTGAAATTCGTGTTGATCTCCAGCAAGACTAAGCTTTCACAAATGCCTCCAACATAGCACACCATCTTTCTCCGAGATCGCCAGGAAAATTATGCGCTTTTTATTAATAATACGGCGTAGTTTGATGCCAGTGTAAAGTGATACGATGGCTTGAAAAAGCTTAGCCACATTAATTATTATAATCCACGAAGATTCTAAATCTAAAATTGCTGTAATCCCTTTACAAACTACTTCTGTCTTTCGTAATGTACTACTCATAAGGTTGTTGAAAATGCTTCGAGAACCCACGACCGGTTTTACCCTTCTTGGGGCTCATCGGGTAGGCGCAATCCCCGAGTTTCCGTCAACCTCATGTTGTAATTGAGTATTTTCTACTTATGCGTAGTGCATTACGAATATACATGCATCGTGATATCTCGAGTATCTTAGCGACTGAAACATGAGGCGGCCTGGTGCAGCACATTCAGTTGCCTGGAAACATCACAAACGAGAGATTCAGCTGGTTTGCAGGTGAGTCTCTCGCAAAACCAAACTAGTTTACAAATGCGTGTATCTCGTTACTTCTATTTTTCTCTGTCTAACAGCTGAGTTTTTTAAGATCCAGAGCGTGTCAGATAAAATGCCATCTCCGACCGTGAACAAAACTAAAAAAATAGGAAATCCGACATTATTACCACCATGCTAACATGATCAAAACGTTGGTGGACATTAACTCAAGCCTGATTTTTTGGAAAGGCAGCGTTTGCTGTACAGAAGCCCTTTTATAATGATATTTTTCCTCATTTAATAGCTTATGTACTCGTACGGTAGTCTGTTAAAAACCAACCGCCAGGGATGCACACTGACCACAAAAAGCCCTTCCTCAGTAGGACTGTTGTGAGATCAATGAACTTCGAGGTACTCTCTTCTGAAACTCCACCACGTTTTGGGACATTCGTGATGGCTATTAACAGATGTAATGCTAGGGTAAAGTGTTGTTAATAGGTTAGCGGAATAACAATACAACAGACCTGGCGATGAAAACATACTAGTAACTAGGTCGTTAAATATCGTACCAGCTGAAACACGAGACAGACCTTGTGCACCACATTCGATTGGCTTTGTAGCGGGTGATCAGACGTAAGGTGTCGTGATCGGAGGACGATCCTACTGACAAACTTTGGAAAATCAACTAAATCTGCTGCACAAAGACACAACATTGTGGCTTGTTAGGAATAGCTGTCCTGATATATTTGCCGTTTTTCGTTGGACACCTATTTTGACTGCAGATGGCGCGGGTATAAAATCTCGCACGCTAATTGGTGTTTTCGGCCCCCAAAGGTCAGGTTCTCATGCCCAGAATCTGACTGAAATTCAAGTGTATCAAACAAACAGACCGACGATCGACGAATCCATCAACTGTACACAGAATTTCCTATTCACGATAAAATCAAGCTACTTGCTAAGAAAATAGTGGTAAATCACACACACACACACAGTGAGTACCCCAAAATACGATGGCTCACATACCGCAGCAAAAGAATACATAGTTTTCTGCATCCGCATAAGAGACTAAACGGACTGAATTGGTAGTATTATATGTAAACATCTTGGCCATATGGGCTGTTTGTCACTGGATAACGGAGAAACAACGCGGTAGAACGTAGTTTACAATCAACGGCTAAAGTGGTGTCCCCTGATCGATTTGGTTGTCATGTGGAACAGTTCAAACTAATGTGGACGAAGGTCTACACGTTGACATGACGGCCCGTTGACCTATGACGACGGAACTTCAGGGAAGTTGCATGGATTCTGTAAGATCCGGACAGTGATGGATCTCACAGGATGATTGCGGCTATTAGGTTATACGCAGTTCGTAGCCAGTAGTCAATAGGAGCAGACAGGCGTGGGGCAGCAGATGATATATTGGGGACTGACAGGGACTGCTTCTATAGACAAACAGATTAGTAAGCATCATGAATTAAGAAAACGTACAATCAACAATGACGCAATCAGCAGGAGCGGAAAATAGTCGCTGACGCAGCAGAGATTTCTAAAGGTAACAACAAGTAAGTATCAAACGATGTGCAAACATACATATAGGGGCAGTCTGACGGGGTGAGCTGGCCGTACAGAGAGATAACGGCGTAGAAATCAGTACTTTCGGGATGAGGGGGCTGTCTTTCCGTTGGCAGCGCGACGCGGCAGCTCGTGTCACGTGACAGATCAGATTACGTGGTTTCGTCCGTTTAAAACAAATCTCGGCAAAGGCTACCTGGCAGGTGCGGTACATAGGTAGTACAAAATAATCAGCCACCTTGGCGGTCAGGTTGGTGTAGTTGGTGGCGCGTTCATCTGCCGTCCGGAGGCTCTGAGTTAGATACCCGGTTGACCCACATTTCCATGGGAGTGGGCGCTCAAAAGATAGGTGCAATCGAGACGAACTGGCAGGCAATGACAGACGGGTAACAGCACTTTGACACCGGTTACTAAGTCATAAGCAGACCTTAAGTAGGGCAAAACGAACAGCAGGGAACATGTGTAAGTCATGTTACTCATGAGTAGTTAGGAAACAAGGAAAGTTAACCTTGTTCACCGTTGATTCACAGGGGAATCGACAGACTCATTTGTCCTGCACACCTCTACCGGAGTTCGTATATTGGAATCCCCCAAAAGACATCTAACACATAGAACGTGTTGCTGATCACCTGTAAGGCCCACGGATTTAACCCTAAAATTGCCCATCCTTGCAGACAACTTGCCGATTTTGAAAGGTAAGTTAAAACCTTATCATAAGAACACATCAGAGATTTCAGTTCATATGATTTAATCTCCAACCAAGTAGAATATTTTGAACGCTGAATTACCGCAATCCCGATTTGACTTTTAGTGATTTCCTGTAATGGCGATGAAGGTAAGTTTAAACAAAATAATTTGCGTTTTTTGAGCACCATCAGCACCCATTTGAAACACTCCAACTTCAGGTATTGCTAACATTGTACGGCTTTGGATAGAAATGCCTATAATGTCCATATAAGACTTAAACGGATCAGTTCGAAATCTAGATGGAACAGAACATCGTAGATTCATTAATTTGTTGAATAACAGAAAAAAAAACAAGAATAGTAGTGGACTAGTACAATACGCTGAAGAAGAACCCATTACCTCGCCATGCATCAAAATATAAACCGGTTGTATATTTCAATCCTGGGATTCAGGGCATGAGTGAAAAACCCAATCAGATCGGAAGAAGTAGGCGATAATTCTGAACCACTGATCAATATTTACTGCTTTATAAACGAAAAACTTCTTTTGGTTTTGTCCATATGTACGGTTGCATATTCTCCTAGGGCCGATTGTCGAGAACAATGTAGTTCTCTGCTCAGAGGAACGATGTCTGAACTATTCTTGTCCTACACCAAATTCAAGTGGGCGAAGTTCTTCGAGACCTGTCGGAGGAAGTTCCGCATAATGTACCGATCAAAGTTAGTTGTGGATTTTTCAACTACTAATGCGTTTATCAGTAGGCACACCATGTAACCTTTTCTGGGCCCAGTCGGCTACCCTATAGATCCCTCTGGGCAAGAATAAAAGGGACAGGTAGAAAGACTGACGGTTGTGCTATAAGATCTACGTAAAAAGCCATTCATACATTGCTTTTTTTGGCATTTTCTCGAGTCATAAATAACCTGGATTTTAATAACCTACTTTAAATTCGCGCTAGTAATGCGGTGTAAAATGACGGCTCTAATTTTCTTGTTAATTATTACCTAGTGAAATTCAAAATAAGAAAAGTTGGTAAGTGTTTCCATAAGACTTCTAAAAGCTGATTTCCTATTCCGAAAAGTATGTAGGTTTCATGATCTCCTGTTTTTTATATGGCGACTGAGAACCAGGGATGCGAGGAAAATCAGGCGGACGCGACGCCTACGAGTAATAGGCTGGAAGCATTCTGCATGAAGATCGACTGACCTGAAATTCCATTGTTTACCGGGATGGAACGTGAAAATTGCCTGCATATCTTGAGTGCATAGTCTCAGGTTCATTGAGCGAACATTATCTGTCTCATTTGGGTCAGAAGTTGAATGGATCTCTCCTGATCACTAGAAGTTCGATATAGAACAGGTAAAAAGATGACCCCTTCATTCGAAGGTGCTGTAAGCAGCAGAGCATTAAATTTATCCGCCCTGTCACATCAACATAACTGAGTACGTTTCGTTTTCTATGTTGTACGACAGAAATTGGGCGAATCTGGGATCATAGCCTGGACCGAATATTTACAGTTTGAACGAAGTAGATGGAACAGTGATATGTCAACATTGCGTCGGAATGTCAATAGCTTGGTAAAAATTTGTGGCAAGACAAATATTGACAGCAGTGAAACTGGATACGTGTCACAGGCAACCGCCGTAGCCGAGGATTGCAGAGTAAGAAGAAAGCAGACCAGTGACTTGGTCTCCAGTTAAATTTTCCCAATCAGACAGA